GGCTGCTGCAGCTACGGCCGCCTGGGTGTTGCCAGGTTTTGTGCCCATCTCTGTGTGTGACAGGGGAAAAGCTGCTGCTGCAGAGCAGCGTACTTCATGGTGACAAAGGTGAAGGCGTGCTGCCCTTGCTCCTTCTGCCTCTGGTCTGAGGTTGGCATCCGGGTGAAGCTGCAGTGCTCATTGCTCTTGGTATGAAAAATAGGTAGTGAGTTGTGCTTTTCCCAGTGAATGAGCATCTTCAGGTGTCAGATCTTGGTGTTGGTGGTGAAACCAGAGACGTGTCAACTGCTGGTGTCCCAAGTAGGTTAAAGTTGCTCAGGTCCTGTTGTCACTAACATAAATTTTGCAGAGTAGGCAAACGCGTGAGTGATTTGGGCGTGGGAGGCTTCATAGGTTGACAGCCTGAGAATGAAACTCTCCACTGAACTGGAGATGAAGTACTTCATCTTCCCCCCACAAGAGCAGCAATGCACATTGCTCTGCTAGGTGAGGATTGCCAGGCAGAACTGAGTGGGTGGGGTGGGAAGCATGGCTCTCAGTCCTTTCTGGTCACTGGATGGGCTCTGCATGTTGCCTTGGCTGCTGAGAAGGCTACGAATGAGAAGGGGGAACTCTTTCAGAGGTAGTAGCTGAAAGCAGTTGCAGCTGAAGCTAGAAGTCATGGAAGACTTCTGTTATTTAGTGATCTGAAGGATTTAATGATAATGCAGTGAGTTTAAGATGAAAACGTACTTTAATGTGTTTGAAGTGCCACTGCTGGCAGGCTTGATGTGTCTGTGTTTATGCTGCCTTGCAGCCGTATGGATTGAGAGCCCCTTGATTTGTCCTGGACTAGTCATCTTGCGAACCACAGGTTGGTTTCGTGCCTGCTGGAGCTGATGTGACCCACAGCAGCAGAGCCTGTAATGCAGCAGCACATGCTCAAGGGCAGAAATTGCTTTCCCAGGAGCATTTTTACCTTACTGTATATTTTATCGAGGATTTGACTCTCTTCTGTAGAGGAGGTGACAGGTCAAGTGAGCTGTTCAAAAACTAAAAGCTAAAAGAGGACAGGCATGAAATGACAATAGCTGCTCTTTGAATCTTGCTTAAAAAGTGTTCCATGCATTACGTCGATGCATGTTAGGAAACTACATGCTTGGGTTTTAAAAAAATTCCTGGTAGCCAAGAGTTAACTGGCTTAAGTCTAACTAGTCTGACCTTGGCAGCTGCAGTCTTCACAAGTACTTGGGGCAGAAGAAGGTGAGGCCTCAATTAGTCTGTAGCTGTCAGGAAGCACCTGGCCACAATAGAAACCTGGAACACTTAAAAAGAGTAAAGTGTATTAATACCAGTTGGAGGTGTGTGGCTGTAGAACATATGCAAGTATCTGAATACAAGCCACTTAAGCATGAGAGAATGATCTGGTCAGCTGTGAGAAGATTCCTTAAAAAGTGCAGAAGTTCAGATGAGGCTGTGACCAAGGCTGGTCAGTGAGGTTCTCAAGTCCTTACTGTTAAAGAGTAACGCTAACATGACATACCTCATCCAAATATATGCCAGCTCCTACAGGCTTGCCTACCCTCCACAGACAAGCAAAAGGTTGGGGCAAGTATGAATATTTCTAAAAGTGGTTTGATTATGCAGTGTATCTAAAGAAGGGTAAAGAGTTGCTTACAAAGATGGGAGCATAAATTGAATAGTGTTATCTGACTTTGCAGCTGGAATTCTGTCCAGGATGCTGAAGTACTATAGCTTTTTGCAGGAGCAAGGTGTACTTGGCCTTTATCCTCTGAGTGGTAGATGCTGGATGGTTGAGAAAGGAAAAACTCCTATGAAAAGGAAGGAATACTGTATCTATGGCACAATTAAAGCGCTTTCAGTGGACTGAATGTCTAAACCCTGAAACTAACACCTGAGTGTCTTCCACTGTTGTGTTGGCTGGAGAGAGCGGTTTGAGCTTTATGTACAGTCGAACAAGTTCAAAGCTTAACTTTCAGAAATGTTTTGCAGTTTTGGCTCTCGCTGGCTTCAGCTGGTGCTGCAGATGATCTTAAACTTAGGTAAAGCTTGTGTGTCATCTTTGTTGATAATTTCAGTTTGACACAAACTGCTTTGCTGAAGCACTTAACACTGCCTCACCAATAAAAGGGCAATGACAACTAATTTTTTTTGCCTGCACCAACAGAGAAGCTGAGTCTCACTTCAGATGAGAGGCATGCTGATAATCGTTAGTACACAGAATTATTTCTTTCTAGTTTGCATCTCGATGTGTAGATAGAAAAGCAGAGCATAGAATATACCTAGGAAGCATGAAAGTCTGACTTGTCTTTTTTTTAATTCCATTGCCCTACAGTTTCTTTGGAGAAGAAAAATCCTGAAGATGGCAGGCAAAGGAAGTAACACAGACTGCATGTCATGCAGCGTACTGAACTGGGAGCAGGTCAGCCGTCTGCATGAGGTTCTTACAGAGGTGGTTCCGATCCATGGACGAGGTAACTTCCCAACGCTGAAGATAACTCTGAAGGACATTGTTCAGACTGTTCGGAGTAGGCTGAGTGAAGCAGGCATTGTGGTACACGATGTCCGTCTGAATGGCTCTGCAGCTGGTCATGTTCTTGTCAAGGATAATGGGCTGGGATGCAAAGACCTGGATCTCATTTTTCAAGTTTCTCTTCCAAGTGAGGCAGAGTTTCAGTTAGTTCGAGATGTGGTGTTGCGATCCCTCTTGAATTTCTTGCCAGAAGGAGTAAGCAAGCTAAAAATCAGTCCAGTAACACTGAAGGAAGCCTACATCCAGAAGCTAGTCAAAGTGTACACAGAGTCTGACCGTTGGAGCTTGATATCGCTTTCCAACAAACATGGCAGGAATGTGGAGCTGAAGTTTGTAGACTGTATACGACGACAGTTTGAGTTCAGTGTGGACTCATTCCAAATCATACTGGACTCCCTGCTCTTTTACTACGACTACTCGGAAACCCCCATGTCAGAGCACTTCCATCCAACTGTGATCGGGGAGAGCATGTATGGAGACTTTGAAGCAGCTTTTGATCACCTGCAGAACAAGCTGATAGCTACCAAAAATCCTGAAGAGATCCGAGGTGGTGGGCTGCTGAAGTACAGTAACCTCTTAGTACGAGACTTCAGGCCCATGGATAAGGATGAGATCAAAACATTGGAGCGCTACATGTGTTCCCGATTTTTCATAGACTTCCCAGACATCCTGGATCAGCAGCGCAAACTAGAGACCTACCTCCAGAACCACTTCTCCAAAGAAGAGAGGAGCAAATATGACTACCTCATGATTCTGCGCAGGGTGGTGAATGAGAGCACAGTCTGTCTCATGGGACATGAGCGAAGGCAGACTCTCAACTTGATTTCTCTGCTAGCACTCAGAGTGCTGGCAGAACAAAACATCATCCCTAATGCCACTAACGTTACCTGTTACTACCAGCCAGCACCTTATGTTAGTGATGTAAACTTCAGCAACTACTATCTTGCAAATGCTCCTGTGTCATACAGCCAGTCCTACCCCACTTGGTTGCCTTGCAATTGATTGCTTCACCTGAGTGGAGGCTACTGAAGGTCAAGATGTTGAGTGTATATAGACAAGTAATAACTGTCAGTTGGAGGTTTTCTAGTGGAAACAGGACTGCATTGGACTTTCCATTTCCTGGTGTGCAGTAGAAATATGCAGCCAGGTTACCTGCTATGAACCTTTCAGTATATCTACAAATGCCAAGAAGCCTTATTACCTCTTCATTAGGAGAAGAGGACCAGCAGCCAAATGTTAGAGGAGTAGTTGCAAAACTCGGTACTAGTTCTGGAAATGGCTATTAACGTGTGATCTAAGTGGAGTATTTGGTAAACTGGGTTAGTTAATGAAGGAAAGGCTGTAAAACGTCTTGAGCAGAAGCCACTCCTGGAACAGCAACAAAACTCTGCTTTCTGTTGCCTAACCTCGTTACTCTGTACTTCCTTAGTTCAAGTTCTGGCCAACTTTCTGTTGAACTAATTGTGCAAGAGAGGGCTTGTGTCGTGCTTGGGCTGCTTCTACTTTCTGGCTGTGTAGAACTGGTAACTGTATGGATATTGTCTGTCTTGTAGAGGGCCTAAATGTTGTTTCCTGTAGTACCTAGGGATACATGGTCCAGCCTCAAGTTCAAGATTAATTTCTTGGAAGTTGAAGATGGATTAGTAAGTCTATTGCTAAAGCATAAGCTGGCTGAATTTTTCTTGCATGATAAATTTGCAAGGTGACATCTCTAAGCATGCACCAAAACACAGTCCAAAACTTGGTAATGTGAAAAGTCCTTCTACTGAGGAACTGAAGCCTTAAACAGAATTGGAACCACAATTTGAATAGTTATGGTGGAAAAATGGAGTCCAGGCTCAAGATAAAGCCTTTCTGACTGCATTTTTCAAAACAATTTTTGGCACAGTTGGAAAGTAGCACAGCTCTTACACTGAAGTTTGGCCCAACTTTCTTCCTCACAGGTCCACAGCAAGCAAAAAAACCCCACAACACACCCTAAAAAACCCTAAACCCCTGTAAGTTGCAGGATGTGTGCTCCTGCCACAGTATAAATTCCTGAAGTATCTCCCAGAATGAATTTCTTGTACAACTTCAGGCAGGTCCTGAATGCTTATCTTTCTGTTACCACTTAAGGATTGAGGTTACTGGTTTATCACTGTCACCTGGTCGCTGTATGAGATGGTATTTTGAGTGCTCAGAATCAAATTCTTCTTCTTTACTGGTTGTAATCCTCACTTGAAGAGGTATATAAACCCTAAGCAGAGCTCTCAACAGAAGCTGTGTGTTGGAAGTCTGCCCCTGTTTTCAGAATGGCCTCTGGAAGGGTATGTACTCCCTTGGAGGTGTAGGGGGCTGACCTTCCTAAAGGGTATGTGCTGAATTTGCGGCTTTGAAGCTCCTGTGCTATGTAAGGAAGGTTAAAAATTCCCTGTTACGTGTATAGCGGTATTAGAAACTGGTGTATAATCTGGATGATTTTCACTGAATTGCAATAGTAACATACATAGAGCAAATGATCTTGAGTTTCCTTTGCTTAACCAGAGAAGTAGACTAGAAAGGCAAATCTTAGAGCTATTTAATGTGTATTGGTGCAATGTGTAAGAATACTTGTTTGCTAAACCTTTTTTTGACTTATAGCTGTCTCGGTAAGCTTGTGAGACCACAGTGCCTCATCAAATGAGGTAAGCTTACAAGGTAAAGCAGAAAGCAGGTGAAACACCAATGTATGGTTGCTGTTTGAGGTGGAAAACAGTAGCAGTGCAGCACTTAAATGGCAGTGAAAAACTGCCTGTTCCTCCTAAGACCAAAACCTACTAGTTACATTGAAAGTTCTCATTTTTCAAAACTACTTAATAAAGACTGTCTCAGTAAAGCAGCGAGGCTACTCTTCTGTTCAGACTTCTTCACAGGAGGGACAGAATTTAGAAAGCAGACTATCCAAGCATGCTTTAGGTTAATTGTTTTGAACAGTCTTGTAAGCAACTTCAGTAGCAAATAGACAAATAATTTGGTGTCTTCTGTTGTTTTCATTAAAGGCTTCCTGAGTAGTCAGCCAAAGTAGCCAAACTTGAAAGTGAACCCAGCCTTTTTCATTAACTGTGGCTTGGACTTGGTGTAACTTACAGACAAGGCATCTCTCACCCAGGACTTTGACTATTTGGAAAGCTTTTTAAAAACTAGCATGATGCCAGTGTTGTCATGTGCATTAAACTTAGTGCAAACTTACTGCTGGAATGCCAACCTAGGCGTGAATAACTTCTGCCTGCAAGGCAATACTTGGCCTAGTATAGTGTGTCACTAGAAAGAAGCGGCTTAGGTGTTTGTAATTGTCTCTTAAATAGATGTTTTTAAAGCCAACCTAAGCTGTAGACCGTTGCCTAGAGGGACATGTTTGATTTGCATATCAAATAGCTTAGACTGGTGTATCTGTCTTGTGCAGTCTCACGGCTGATCTTTACAAACTGTTTCTGTGCATCAGCTCATGTGAAAGAAGTGGTCAGATGCTCAGGAGAGGTCCTCACAGGTTTGAAACAGACAGATTGATGTTTTACTAGTCTTTGAATGCCTTGGCTGCTGAACATCTGGCTGGGTGCGTCTACTGGAAAAGGAAGTGCTAGAAAAAAGGCTTTAATGGATTCCTATTGAAATAGAGCTATGGAGAATTTAAGGTTCCTGCTATAAATATTGTGCTTTTACTAATGAAACTTGTTGCTGAGGCCTCGAAGGAAGCTTGAAACTGAATGGCCGTCCTCTGAACAGCTGACTTCCTGGGTTTAAGCTTTCCAGGACTGCTGTGTTCCCTGTCCGTCTATGAAATTGCTCTGGAATATTAGAAATATTGATGCTTTGTAGCCTGGCTGCTGGATGTTAAGCTCTTGAATAGTTAAACTGTATCCTGAAGCTGCATACTGCCTACTGCATTGGCACTAGTGTGTAATGGATTGCCGGGACACTGTTTGCCTCTTTGCCTTCAAAATAATCCTGGCTTGGCAGGTAAAGCTGGAATACTCAGTAGCTGTTCATCACTGTGTTGCAAGCAGTCTACCCTTTTCTGTTTCAAGTTGTCCTAGCAGTCTGATGTTGCATGTGGCAGTGGCTTAATTGGGTGTGTGCTTGCTGGTTTGTGTTCAGGTTTACGGTGGCCCCTGTAGCAAGGAGTGACATGAGTGCTAGGTAAAAGTTTAATGACCCTAGGCCAAGTCTAGGCTGCCTGCTTGATTCGGTCTCCCTTCAGTACTTAATGATGCCTCTGCAAACCTGCTCTAACCTCTGTTGCTCACTTGTGTGTCAATTGGAGGTTAGAGAAAGACTACTATACTTTAGACTATTACCTAACACATTCCCTCTGGGCAGTGGCAATAAAACAAAGCTGCAGTAACACTAGACTGCGAGTTTTGTATCAGTGCATGATTCCTCAGGACTAGGCTTCCAGTAAACTACACTGTGGTTTCAGATAGCTGTTTTCTTGTAGCTTATGAGCTCTGCTAGGCTAAGCCAGTCTGAGGTTAAGCATCTGTTGTCAATATTTATTGCCAAGTCCCCCTTAACTTACAGTTTATTGGTATGACTTCCTCATTGTAAGATAGATTACTTTTTTATTTGCTAAAGATGCTACCGAGGAGACCTAGTAGTAAACTGGGTTTTAGTCACTTTGGTAAAATCTCTGTGCTGATCCATGGTCACTCTGAAAAGTTGTAAGGTAAAGCATACTTCATGCTCCCTCAGGTCAAGATTTAATTGTTACTGTGTTTGTGTTCGGCTAGTTCAGTCAGTCACTAAGCTGGAGGTTGACTACTGCTTGATTTTGAGTAAACATTTTTCAAAAGATCCTCACGCTTTAATAATGTTGTCTACAAAGCAGTAGGTAGTATTTAAATCTTGTCCAAATACCTAAAGCTTTTTATTGAAACTTAAAGATCCATATTTTGGGTTTGAGTTTTGGGATTAAGCATTTGGTATGTTTCATGCCTGGGCTTTGTGGGTTTCTGATCGCTGGAATAACTACTAATGCCGGTAGTCATCTCAGCTTATCACTATGAGTGCTTGGGAGAAGGCCTCTTAGAAGATAACATGGACAAATAGCTTCAATTCTAAGCTGTCAGTGTACCAATGGTCCTTGTTCACCATTCCTTTTACTCAACACACTCAGTGAGGGTGCCATAATTGTTAGGGCACAGGGATGAGCAATAAATTGACCATAGTCACTGGCAACTTGGTCTAATTTGGGCACTGGGAGAGCCAAATGGACAGTAATAATTCTAGCCTTTGCATCTAAGTCTTATTCAACCATTTGTTAAATATGGTGAAGTGTATTTCATAATGTTCTTTAATTTCAATGAAACTAGTTATAAGTTGGGGTGCTGGGCTATAGTTGTAGAAGCTTTGGGTGGGGGGAATGGTTGGAGCGCTCTGGTTTTTCTCACTTGTATTGGAAGAGAAGGCCACTCACTGAAGTGTCTGGATTGGGCTTGTCTCTTTCTGATTAAAATTGCACTTTCTGTTGAAATTTAGAAGGCCTTTTTTTTTTTCCTATGTTCATCTCATTATTTTTTTACTATTAAAAGAAGTCAGCTCTTGGAAAATTTGTCTCATACCTGTTTGGAAGAAGTGAGTCTTTCTTTTAATTTTTAAGCTGGCAAAACAAGGTACTAGAAATACTTGGATTTGTGATAAGCCCAAATGTGAGATTGGTCACAGTAACTTTGTCTACTGTTCTGCACTGTGGTGTTCACTTGTCATTCTTGGAAACTGGGTTTTGGACCTTAATGATTCTGAAATTCTCGTGCAAATAAACTTATGCTAAACATTGATTGCCTCAAGTAATTCTTGCATCTAAATAGTGCTGACAAAGTATTTGTGGAGCTTATTGGCCAGTGTGTGTGTAGATACACTGCAGGGGGAGAAACAGTGATGGGGTATACAGTAATGCTTGTTTTAGATGTTATTCAAGGTACTTTTTTCCTCATGAATGTACACATTTGCCTACACATCTGCCTGAACTTACTGAGATTAGTCAGTTAAGTGAGATATGATTCATCTTTCACTTACAGTATAGTGGCAGTTTGTAGAGAACCATGTTTGCCCTCTCTGACCATCATCTGGTCTCAACTTAACTTTAAAGCAGGTTGAGGCAGTCCTAGGTTTTAGATAGTGTCTGGTCTGAGCTAGAGCCTGCCAGTCTGTTCTGTGACACCCTCTATTTTATATGCTGCTCCAAGTCAGGGGCACGTGTGTACCTCAACCCATGAGCCAAGGAGGTGAGAAACAAAGCAATTGCTCTTCAAGTTATTTCCAGGTTGAAAGTCTTTGTGCTTTTACTTGGTCCTAAAAGCTGATGCTTCTACATACCAATGGTCAACGGGGGTTGAGCAGGTCAAGGCTAAACAAAAGCTAGGGCCAGGTGGCAGTCTACTTGCTGCTCCTCATGCTCTAGCATAAAAAATGAATGAACTCTAAAAAGCGTGCTTGCTTCTAATCCTCTCCAGAGCTCAGACAAGCTCTAGCCTCTCAGTTAAGTAATGCTGGAGAAATTCCAGTCCTTAGGACCTTGTAATACCTGCAGTGGAACCTCCTTTGGAGATTAGCAGAGGTAGTGTGGTCCCATGGAAGTAATCATGAAGCTTGTGTAGTCCCTTTTCAAGGTGCAATTGCTCCCTGCT